AATCTGCATCCTATAAAGAAATTGAAATTTTTATCAAAAGAAATTTTCAATAAATTTTTTGTTTTTCTTCCATTTTCAATTTCTATTATAAAAAATAACTTTTACTTTCATTTTAATTTCAATTTATACACAGATGAATTTTCATAGTGAATGAATTTTACATATTTTTTTATTTTCTAATAATGCATATGAAATTTTTTAATATTTTAACTATAGTATAACATAAGGTACTTAACTAATTTACTACGGAATAAAACAAATAATTAGTAATGGTAAACAAGTATATTTTAGCTCCCCCTAACACAACACACTACAAACTCAATCTTAACTCACCCATATATTATTTTTTTTTAAAATTGAACAGTAAAGTGTGATTATTTAAAAACACGCTAAAAATATAATGTTCATATAGGTAGGTAGGTGCATAGTTAGTTGCGTTGCGTGGTTTCTGTCTATAAATGAGTCTATAAATATGTGATGACCATTTATATTTTAATTTTTATTTTATAAAATTTCCGCAATTCATTTTCCACTTTTTAATAAACAAGAAAAAAAAAAAAAATTTTTTAATTATTTGTGTGTGGTTTTGTGCGTTGAAGGCTCTTTGAAGTATAGGAAAAATTTTTATATTTTAATTTTCTATAATTAATTTTAATTTTCAAAGCGGTATATGATTACGAGTAAGAAGAAAAAAAATATTTACAATTAACGAGCACCTTTAAACTTATTTTAATATTTGAAAATTTTTTTCTAAATAAATAAATAAACTCCAGCTTTATAGGTTACAACTTATGATTGATATATAAGAAAACCATTTAATTAATTCATAATTTATTTTTAAAAATAAAATTTTAAGTTCCATATACATAAATATTTTGCATTTAATTATAAGTTTTAATTTAAATTTTTTGTTTATTATTTTATAGCATGACTAACATTTATTTAGCATAAGTAAATATAGTTGCATGACTAATGCCCAAAAAATTAAGTATATGTACTTAATTAATTTTTATTAAAAATTTTGATGTTTTATTTATTAAATAATTTTTGATTTTAATTTTTGTGGAAATAATAATTATAAACTAATATCAGTAATTATTTAATTAATTTAAAGCTAAAATTAAAATAAATGAAAATGTTTAATAAATAAATGAAAAATATAATAAAGTTATAAAAATTGTAACTACACATGCAAACCGCAGTTACAAATTATCGGCATATAAGAATACAAGATTAAAAAATATTAGAAAATCGTAGATAACTTCCTAGTCGGGTCGGCAGATTTGTTTGACAATAATTTAATTGGCAACAATTTTAAAAATTACTACGAAGAAAAGTAAATATCAAAATCTTTTAAAATTAAATTTAGAATCATAATTAAACAATCAATAAAATTAAATTTCAAATAATAGTAGGTCCACAATCAAAAGTCTAAAAAAACAAAAATTTATCAAAAAATAAAGGCATTAAAAAAGACAATATAAATTAGAGGATTAAAAGAAATAGAAAAGAACCCGAAAGGCGAGCTCAAGGAGATCATGTTCATAGAATACTCCTAATACTTCTTGTATTACAGAAAAAAATTAGGAAAAAAATTTACTACAAAACGAGATGATACTAGAGCAAAGACTTATTATGTTTTTTAAAAAATGAACTAAAGGTTGAATAATGTAAATCTATCTTTAGTATATTGATATACCCTTGTATTTGCCTTACAAATAAAAAAAATTCAATGAATGCTTCAACAATTTTACGACCAATTACGACCAATTAATGAATATCCGACATTGTACTTGCAAATTATATGGGGACTATTAAATTTGTATTAATTAATAAAATTTTATATAATAATAAATTCCACTTACTTGACTGATGCTTCTAGTTCTTGTCCTTTTCTAATATTTTCTGGAAAATTCTACGAAAAATTCCAAATTTATTTTTTGAACATTTTTTATTTTCTTTAGTTCGTCTATATTGAGATTCACTTATTCTTTATCTTTCATTATTTTGCGCAAACTTGTAATCTTCGAATTCAATAATTAATTCAAAAAACAAAAAAAATTTTTTTTTCAATTTTAAAATTCCATTTTTATATTCAATATAATTTTTAAATTTAATTTAGAAAAGAAATATTCACGAACTGACTGACTTATTTACAATAAATGCTATGATTTAAAATTTTTTATAAACTAAAATTGAAATCTTTAGAAAATTTTTTTAATTAAATTTTTTATATTTTTATTGTTAAAATACACAATATAAAAAATACATAGTAGGTAAGTAGGATGCCTACTTTGCTTTACTGATTAAAATCAAATTATTAAGACACAATAATTTAAATTTTTTTTCCAATATTAGTAAAACACCTTGTATTCCCAGTCATAATTCTCTTAACTTCCATAATATATGCACTGCACAAGAAATCATTATCCATGTATTGTAAAAATGTAGGTGAAATCGTGTTTTTATAAATCGTGGTTGCGTTTACTATTTTAAAATCAATAAAAAAAAAAATAGTTTTCAAGTAAATTGTTACGTTATGTAAACAAAACTTTAATATTTTAGTTATTTGATGCGCACATTATGTAAATACAATTATATATTTTGATGTAAAAACCTATATAATAAACAATATCCAAAAACTATTACATACATTTATTCACTATGTACTCGTATATACAAAATTGCGAGGGAACTGCGAAATATGAATAAAATACAATAAAATTAGTAGTAAAGTTAATATGCATTTTGTTACGTTAATTATGCAGTTTAGCTTCTTGAGAATTCAATTAAACGATAATATAAATTGGTTAATCCAAGTTAAACACATAATATGCCTCTATGATTATGAGTATATCTGCAGTTTCAACATTAATGAATATTGAATATCTAAATGTTAATGACTTCTTCAACAAAAGTTAAGTGATTCCAAAGATTTAAAGTTAATTGCATAATAAAATTTAAGCATAAGATCATTTACATAATTTTATAAGTAGCATAATCAACATGATCAATAATGAGCACGTGCTATTTGTTAATTTTATGTTGCAACAATTACTATGTAATAGTTACACAAACTGATTCATGTGTACTTTGTGTGCAAATTTACATATGTTAGTCACCAAATACTGCAATTAAAATTGCTATAAATTCCATAATTCAAATATAAATCCAATTTGTAATCAATTATTTTTGAAAATATTGCCATGATGTGCACCCTCCAGAGAATAATTGCAATAAAATTTTTTTTCTAAAATGGAAAAAAAAGCAAACAAATAAGCGTATGAGTACCGGCGGCTTTTATTTAGTTATTTATAATCAAAAGATAAATTTTACATTTTAAAATTTTAATAAAAATCACAAGCCAATCGAATGAGATATCAAATTAATACTGATTATATGCGATGATTGCAAACTTGTGTTAAGTACCATTATCTTTTACGTCTTGATCAAATAATTATGATTTCTTTTATAATTTTTACTGTGCATTTTTTTTTATTCAATCCATTGATGAAATTCTTTAGCATTACACATTTTATTGAATGCAGTATCGTTTGTGTTTTATAAAGTATTCATATGCAATGGAATAGTGAATTAAAATCACACAATTGCAATAGGTAATTATCACCAGTAATAAAATTGTTTGGCTTTGGAATATCCAATAATGATAGTAAATTGAAAACTAGAAATTTTTAATATGCTTCTTCATAACAAATACATTGAAATGCATCATAAACCAATTTATTGGATTTTGATGGAAAAGCATATTATAATCATATAGAATTGTAATCATTAATAAGCAGATTCAATTTCATTTTCAATAGAAAATCAGCCTAATTACGGGCGGCATCTATGAAAATATGACATACATGTGTCTTATGTACAATGTTACATCACAATTGGAGAAAATTCATTTAAATGGCTCATGATTTACCATTTTAATTTTAAAATGCTTACTTCATTATCAAAATTAGTATGATGGGGTTGATATATTTTGTTATCCAGTTTATGCAAAGCTACAAATAATTAAGTTGACATAAGTATAGACTTACTCACTAGTACCTTTTCAGATTGAATAATCAGCCGTAACTCCACCACTACTGTTTAGCAATAATTGAAAGAATTCATCCATTATTACTTATATTATTGATATCCCATTCCCATAAATTTTATGCGATTAGAATCAGGCGCAATTTATTTATCTATGCATAGATATACTTATGAATATTATGTCTACATTATGTATACATAAAAATCATAACTTTGTTCCCGCCATTTACAAATAGGTTAATCCGTACTCTATAGTTTTTTAAAGAGCGTGTACCAAAAGTCTGGCCTGGTTATTCTATAAATAAAGAGAAGTGTTAATAGTAAGTATTTAGTATATTTAATATATGTCACATTTTACAATTTTATTTTATTTTAAATATTTCAGACGAAAACTTACAATAATGTACTTACCTTCCCAAATATACATATGTACATACATATACACTTATACAATATGTACATAAGCGTATATGCTGCTCCATTGAATTTACTGTTTTTAATCGACACAAGCAGCCAAAATTGGTTATCCAAAGTAATACAAATATTTTAAGATTTAATTTAATGTTTTTGTGGACATTTATCTCTATTTTTATATGCTCATAACATTAACAATCCAATTTAATTTAATTTTTAAAAAAATTATGTCCTTTGCCTTTTTAGTTAACAATTTTCAAACCACAAATTACAAATACGTAATAAAAATCCCAACAATTTCATTCCAAATTATTTCATTACATTTTCCTATGGTAATTTTTTTATTTGGAATTCACAATTATCTTTTACAATTTTAGTACTTCCATTAAAGAAATTGTGAATTATAATAAATAAAATTCTCTTCATAATATCCCATGTAAAAACATAATTTCCACTATCTGCTTTAAGCGATTTTTTAAATTTCAATACTATTCTAATGTCAAAATTTGACTTTCAACATAATGTCAAAATTAGTCTCGGAGAATCGATGACAACATAGAAAAAAAATTATTATTGCAAGAAAAATATTGTTTTTCAAAAATTCCATTACAAATTACGTTTCAAATTGATTTATACAAAGAAAGAAAGAAAATTTAGAATATAAAAATTCACAATTTTAGGAAATTATTTAAAATATTTAATGGCTAGTGCAACAGAAAATACAAAAGAAGAAAGATGGAAAAGGGTAAGAATAAAATTATAAAAAAAAAGTTTGCCAACACAAAGGTTACCAGGACTTTTTTCATTAATACTAAGTTTTTGCTATTATTGTTGAATTTTAACTGAAACGCAAAAAGAAATTCTCTTGAAATTTTAATATAATGGTGAAATATTTTAATTATGCATTGAATTATTAAAAAAAAAGTTGAATAACATGAGTCATATGGTAGATTATTATGGATCTGCTTATGGAATAAGGATGAAGTGCGGATAGGAATTATCTACATTATAAAATTTGAAATATTTTTCTCTGAAGAAGCCTTACGTTTAATTATGTAGATATACATATGCATATGTGTATATATTTCCGTAAGAGAAAAAAACAAGAAATTTAATTTTTGCAATTGTATATTTTATTATTGCCAATTTCATTTTATTTGCGGTTTGATATAAATTGAACTACTTATTAGAGCGTAACTCTATAAATTATTGTATATATCTAGTTAAGTACAAATGTACCAATAAAAATATATCTATGGATATTTCATTTCAAATAGGAACTAAATTATGGTTATACTAACTTTGTTTATGAGAAATGAAAGCTGATTTTTTATACATTTTAAATTCTAATTTCTAAATTAATTCATTATAAATTTCTTACACGGCTTGTTGTTAGTTTATTAAGTGTTAAATGGTTGTAGGTAGGCACAGAGTTAATCTAATTAGGTAGGTAGTTTCATTGAAAATATACTATGTGTTTGTAATATTAATGTGTGCATATTTGGGAAATGAAGAGACTGGAGGACTCATGTGTAAATAAGTGAAATGTTTACTTACTTATCTACCTTTTTGGTGTTAGTAAAAAATTCTCAATATTTCTGAGAATCAAAACAGATGCTTTTTTTAATCGAATATTAAAATAAATAAACATTATTTTCCAATTCTCAATGTTATAGATCGTATTTGTATGGGGATATACAAAGCCCGCACAAACATATATCTATACTACATTGAATAAAAATCCACATCATCTTAATTTCTTTTATTTTCATTTAAAAAAAAAATTAATTATATTATAATTTTATAGGCGGTAATTGGCCCACTTCCAACGGATTTTCTTCGAATACATACAGCCAGAGAAATTCAAGAAGCTGCAGATTGTCAAGCAGCTATGGCACTCTATCAACAACAACAGGTTGCTCCCTATATGGTAATTTTTTCTTTGTTTTTTTTTAGTGCATTTGTAAATTAATTTCATTCAATATACTTTTTATATTAAAAATTTTAGGCACCAAATATTGTTGGAAGATTGAGTATTACAGTTGCTCAAGCCAAATTAGTACGTAATTATGGTTTAACTAGAATGGATCCATATGTAAGGGTTAGAGTTGGTCATTTTGTATATGAAACACAAACAGATCCAAATGGTGGTAAAACACCAAGATGGAATCGTGTTATACAAACTCAATTACCAGCTGGTGTACATTCCATTTCAATTGAAATATATGATGAATGTAGTTTTAAAATGGATGAATTAATAGCATGGACAGAAATAAAAATTCCTGAAAATGTTTTACGTGGTGAAACACATGAAGAATGGTATCCATTAAGTGGTAAACAAGGTGATGGTATTGAAGGACAAGTAGATTTAGTATTGAGTTTTAGTGCTCAATCAATACATCCATATATGTATCAAGCTCCAGCTGTTTTACCTGTAGCTATGGTACCAAATGTAGCTGGTAGACCAATGCCTGTATTTGTAGCACCACAACAACCGCAAGTGGCACCTCCAGTTACAATTGCACCAGTTAAAATAAATGAAGAAGATATGAAACAAGTAAATAATCATATTAAAATGATATTAAAAAAATTTTTATTAGTAATAAATTTTTTAGGTTCAAGAAATGTTCCCGAATATTGATAAAGAAGTTGTAAAGTCTGTTTTTGAAGCGAATCGTGGTAACAAAGATACAACTATAAATTCATTGCTCCAAATGACTGATTAGATAATTCGATAATATTTAAACCTAAAATAACTTTGAACCAAAAAAAGAAACAAAAAGAAAAACGAAATTCAAAATGAAAAAACTACGTTTTAGAAATTGAAAACAAAAATGAATATTATAATTATTATAATATAAAACAGAAATATTTGGTCAAAAAAATTTTTTTTTTCATTTTTTACACTTTTTCATATTTAAAAATTAACCAATGCAAAATCTTCCAAAAAACAAAAATTTAAAAACGAAAATAAAAAAAAAAAAAAAAATAAATTGAAATAAACATTTAACGCATTGAAACACACACCTAACGCATCATTATAACCACATTAACTTAAGCAACAAAGCCAAGAGGGAACAGGAATGAAATTAAGCCAGAATAAGCTGAAAATAAATACTTAATTAACTATGAAAATAAAAATTCATATAAAAAAATATAAGCTTTTAATTTTCAAATACAGACTATGTATATTTTTCTTATTGTTTTTTCTTATTTTTGTATAAATGGTAAAAAAAAAATCATATTTTTAAATTTAAAAATATACCTGTAATTAGGCCATAATAAAATATATTTAAATTATAATATATTAATTTTTATGTGTATTAAAAAATTGAAAAAAAAAAAAAAAAAGAAAAAAAGTCTAGTAATATATTGTTACATACTTGATCGTAAATATTGTTATCTTTTATTTTTATTATAATTAATAATTAATTTTAAATTTAAATTTCAATATTTAAAATTTTCTTGAATTACAACATATTTTACTTAATATTGAAAACAATAAAACCAAAACTTTATTAAAAGTGTACATAATATATATTGGGTCTTTTTCTTAAAAGAGACTTCAGGTGGTTTGGATTTTGAGAAACAACAACTAAAAAATATAATCTAAAATAAATATCGGAATAATGTATATGTTTAAAAATTCTATATTAATATATTACAATTACTAAATAGAATGAAAAATTTAACACGTTTCTAAAATCAAAAACTAATACTTTTTTGATAAATCAATTCTAATTTAATTGTGATGCTGTTTGAAAAAGTTGAACTGATGGGGTGTTATTGAAAAGAATTTTGTTTTCCCGTACAGAATTTTAAATTTTGGAATTGATTTTATTCCAAAAATTAATATATTTTTAAATAAAAACACATATTTTGTAATATGTAAAATCTTTTAAGTATGTAAATCAGAAATATTTCTAGTTAGACGGATAGAATTTCTTAACTGGCTCATCAAAAGGGCTAAACTAGCACTAATTGAACAATGCTAATAACTAAACAATAACCCCAGGAACAATGTTTATTGAAAGGCAAATTCAATTTGCTGTATTCAAAGTGATTTATAATTATCAAAGCTAATATTATAAAATTTTATTAGATTAAATTTAATTTATAAATTTCTAAGTGTACTGTACTATATATACGTTTTCACTAAATTACAAACTTATTTAAGTCCTGGTAATACAAAAATATTTAAATGAATTTTTGTACCATAGGGCATATAAGTTTTTTTTAATATCAAAATATATAGACTACATATTTTTAATTTTTACCTCAAACTTTTGTAAATCAAAAAACCGCACTTAAAAATTTTTATTTTATTTCATTTATTTAATCCTATTTTAAATACTTAATTCAAAATTTATATTTAAAAATCTGTTTTTGCACACACTTCAAATTTCACCTTTTTTAAGGATGGTTTTTTATTTTTTTTTTTTTGCAAAAGTAATTGTGCAAATTAAGTTTAAATATAAAAACCTTTTTTACACTTTCACCATGTTTTGAAAATATTTAAAAATAAAAAATCGCTTTGTAATATTTACAAATCCTTATATACAAAATTTAAAATCAATCAATTGTTTTCTTAATCGGATTAGTAAAAAAGGAAGAACCCCTTAATATTTATTTAAATTTTGATTGCACTTTTTATTTATTCTCATATAGATGTAGTAAATGAACGAGATGATCAATAAGAATTTATTTTAAAATTCAAGTATAGTTCACATCCGGTTATTGAATATTCTTAATTTACTTTCCCTTTATTTGGATCAAACTATTTGGTTTTTATTGAAATTCAAAAAAAAATAAGCTAATTGTATTTATTGAAAAAAATTTTGAATTTCCAATTCAATTCATGGATTTGTATTCAGAAAATGGGTCATAAATTAAATGTAACATTGACAACTTTCAACTATATATTTAAATTTATTAGGTATTAAATCAATTGTTATTAATTTTTATATAATTATAATTAGATCCCATATAATAAATGCATTCGTTTAATGAAATCAAAAATAATATTTAATAAAATCAATTTGAATTCAATTCAATACTTCAAAACAACCTTAAATTCTATATTGCATTAGAGCAAATTCGGATTGTTTGCAGACATTAAAATTACTTATATAACACCCAATAATATTGAATTATGATTAATAAATAAGGAATGTAATTTGTTACTGCTAATGCTAATGTTAAAATTTTTATTATTCATAAATATTAAATTTTAATTGAAGGTAGGCTGTGACGTTTTTGGTAAACTATCAATGATTCTCTACTTAAAAATGCCCAAAATATACGGTTTATTCGTTTATCAAACAAAATATTAACAAATATTTTTAATAATTATAACCTTATTCAAATAATATAATCCATATTATATTCTATATTAAATAAATAAAATAAATCACCCTAAATACTTTTATTTGTGAATATCAGCATTCAAAAAAAAATTTGCATATTATTGCTGTTTTTCTTATATTCTTTCGTATTTTATAAAATGATGGATGTGTTACGGAAGTTAAAAAAATTTTCATTACAAAATATAAGATAAAAATTAAAATTAATTCAAAATTACAAAAGGAGAATAAAAAACTATCAAAACAATGAATAAATTTTCAAAAATATAAGTTTTACAAAATATTGGGTAAATAAAAAGAGAAGTGATACAGATTAAAAAAATAAAGGATTTGTAATAAGAATCCTTTATTATTGTAAAAATATAAAAATTTTGCTATCATTCCCACCTTTGTTATTTATCTCTATGTTTAATACTTACTCTGCAAATATCTATGATAGTTAATATTATAAAAAAGTATAAAATAAGGATAATTTAAAAAGGATAATGTCATTGATAATATGAGAGCTATTATAAAATTGTTACCACTTTGTAAATACAGAGATAATATTTCCACTGTACTTATAAGAGAAGAGTCTATATATACTACATATAGTACTTATAAATCATAAATTTTGTGCGATAAGAAATTAAAAGCATAATTACCGACTATTCAATTATAAAGAGGAAAATTATGTCGTAGTCTTATTTTGCTTTTGAGTGTTTGAAATTTATTTTATTTTTATACAAGTAGAAAATAATTATTTAAATATAAATTAAATTCTAAAATATTTTTTCAACTAATTAATTTTCATGATGAAGAGATGGTACAAGTTATTGTAAAAATTTTATAATATTTCTATTTTATTAATTAAAATTGTGAAAGTGAATGAATTTTGTATACATCTTAGAAGAAAACGAGATGTGGAATAATTCTTCTCACTCGAAAAATATACATAATAAAAATATATGATTGGCGATTAAAATAGTCAGATGTACGAACAGGCTTTATATCGATCTCTACTTGTCGACTACTGACTATTCCAGTTCTACCACTCAAATTATAGTTAAAGAGGAGAAGGATTATGTGATTCAATAAATAATTACGCTTACCTAAGTAAGTGATTCAATAAATAATTTCGCTGGTTTCATTAGACTTTTAACTCTAAAGTGTTTGCAAAACTCCTCACGTTATGCATATCAATTATAGGCAAAGCTAATCAGAATAGTTAATTAGAAGGATTAAAACTTTTATCGCTGAATTTAATTTCGCTGACTTAATATATTTTTACTCATACAAATGGCAATTTTTTTAAAAATTAATTCTTTAAGTGGATTTTTAACATTTATTAGAATACTCGTATTTTTGGAATAAAATTTTTAGTTACATTTAGTTATAAAATTTTTAGTCGGTAGTGTTCTTTTTAATAGCGTTCATGGATCAATATAATTAAGTTATTTGAAAAAAACCAATACCTACAGAATCCAGTCCTTTATCTTGATACTAATAATGATTGGAACAAAAGTATAACCAGTCTCTTAAAATTCTTTATTTTCTTAATTCAGTTAACGTTGTAATATTTTATATAATTCGTTTTAATTATATTTAAACAATATTTTTTATAAAAGAAACAACCATTATTAAATTTTAATTTGGCCATCCTTATTTATTGCATACAATTGTCTAATAAATTTTAATTTTACAGCTGCAGAACATTTTAATTCTAATAATAATTTTTTTACACGGAAATTTGTTTTTAATATCTGCCTGCGAGCAATATGCAAACATAATTATTACGTTATAAGTGTGTATCGTATGCAAGCATAAATATTATAAGTGTGTGTATAGTGCAAATCATCAAAATTGAAAAAAGGAATGCAAAAAGAGCATCAATAATTACAAAACATAGTCCTTACACAATATTACCATTCATTTTATTTAGAGGCGTTGTGTTATCCTTTTTATGCAAATTTTTATTTATTTTTTTTTTTTAGCTTTACGTACGTTCTATTTTGTATAATAAAAATAATTGACATCTATATGTATAAGATTAGGTTACATTTAATGTAATACTCTGAATATAAAGATAGACCGTACTTTTGTAAAACGTATTGTTTTCAAAAAAATTACAATTCGGGTGAAATTTCGTGATAGAAATTGACTCTATTTTTAAGAGTATAAATAACCAAGTATAATGGGTTGCAAAAAATAATATTTTTCTTCTCTTCTAAATCTTCGTATTAACCCTCTCAAGGATAATATTAATGTGCTGTATTTAAAAGCATATTTTGCATGTCACTATTAAATAATTAATGTGCATATTTTTTTTTTTGCTTTTTTTTTTTATTTCGAATCAATATTCTCCCAAAGGATTATAATGAGCTAATTTGTTTCAAGGTTATAATATTTAAGGAAAAATTTTTTTTTTTATTATTAAAGTGTATTAAAAAATATTAAAGGTATAATATTCAATTTCTCATTATGCAAATTTTTTTGAATATTTATGTTTTTATATCCTTTTATAAATAAAATAAGAATTAATTTGAATTGTCAGGACTAAATATAGTCTAATATTTCAGTCTTCACACAAGTATTATATGCAAATAAATATGAATTTTTTGTCTCAATTTTAAATTGTGAGTCGTGTGTTATGCTAGAATATAATATTGTGTTGATTCCGATTTCGCGTTTTATTTTAAATGGGGTGTTAAACAATGTTTTTCTTATAAGATATTATCGATGACTTTTAAATAGTTTGTATATAAAAAAAAATTGTTTGGAAAGTTCAATTGATATCAGAATGAATTTAATAATTTGTTAATAATTTAAAATATTGATGAATTGACAATGTTTTTTTGTTATATAGTGAATAATTATAAATTTTTGATATCAATATAATTGTGTTACATGATTTTAATGTATAAAATTTAATTTTTTTATACATATAAAACATTGAAAGTCATTTAAATAAATTATAACATATAATTTTGAAAATATTAACTAAACTAAGACACCAGAGGCTCACAGTTTGCTCTTCTTACAATCACAAGTCTTTGGGTCTACATTAGAACTGAATTTTCTAAAATAACTACATATGCAAGCATACTCATTACATACTTTGTATATGCAATATTTGACAATTGGCTCATGTATTTTTTATTTTATATACCAATTTAATAATTTCTATTTTATATACTTTTAATAAAATAATCACTAGATTTTGGAGTATATTGCATAATAAAACAGTAATTTAAAATTTTAATGACTTCATTTTTATTAAATAAAGTATTTTTTTTTTTGTTTTTTCTATATATTTTTTTTTCTGATTTGGCATAAATTTGTTCTTGTATATAAAGCAATAAATCAAACTTTGTAACTTTTATTAAAAGTTACTCTACTTAAGTATATAATTTTTTTTTTTATATTATGATACAATATCCTTAAAATTCTTATTCTATATTAAAACTATTCTACATTTATACTTATAAAATATACAATCGATTGAATAATATCAGTTTCCTTGTGATCAAAATTGGATCTAATGCCTAATTTTCTTATTTACTTCAATAATTTTTCAAAATCAAACAACTTTCTTATACATAAATATAATTATTAAATACAAAATCATATTGAAATTAGGAAAATAATATTTTAAAAATAAATCATAAAATTGAAATTTAATTATATAACTATACAGACAAATTATTAATTAATTTTAAAGTTAAGGAATTTAAGTCTTAGGCGTAAAATGACTAGATACCTAAAATTATAATGCTTATATTAGTTATTATCATTATTACTATATGTGATCATAAGTGTGGAGAAAATATTTAATTTGATTTAAACTCAATTATCATATCATATTTGGTTAGTTATTAAATCTTTCATTTTGAAACTACCACTATAATTACCACATACAAATATTTTCAATGTTAAAAATTAAAAGTAATAATGATGATATTTGAAATACATAGAAATATTAAAACCAAAAGAAAATCCATAAAAAATTAAATATAAAATTAATTAATTAAAAAGTAAACTGAATTTCGAAATTAATTAATTGAGCAAAAAAAATAAAGAAAATATTGAACAAAAAGTTAATTTCATAAATAAATTCATATGATATAAATTTTCAGTCAAAAATTATTCGAACAAATGGACGACTACTGAAATACAGATCTAGCGCAAAATGAACTTATTCATCAACATAAATTGTATTGCTGAATAAATTAAATTGAAGTTAGATCTTCAATTGGATCATATAGGCCTGTTATGTTTTATTATTTTACAAATTCTTATATTTTTATTACAAATATTTTAATATTGTTCATTTCAAATTAAAAATAAAGAAAAATATGATTTTTCTTAACTTTACATTAACTGTGTAATTAATGAACTACGTAATGATTCTAAAAAAATCAAATTTAATTTATTATTAATCAACAAAACTAATTATTATTGAATTAGTTATTATTATTGAATTAATTATTATTATTGAAAAACCATAATAACAATAACTCTTTATAATATTTTCGATTACTTTCTCTTAAAATACATTAATTCCGACATCTGCAAATTGTGATAAAGTTGTCGAATGTTGGTAATCATTATTACTATTATTAATATTATTATTACATGATCCCGATGATGATAATGTATTTCCATTTGAATTTGATTGTGTATCCATTTGTATATTCCATATATTATTTCTACCTGAATTACTATAATAATATTCAGGACTAGATGAAGCTGATGATGAATTATAATTAATATGATCATAATTATTATTGTTGTAAATTGAATCATTATGTAATAAAGTTGTTGATGATGTCGACGGTGACATAGACGATAAATTATATTCATATTGTTGTTGTATACTATTATTAGAACCATATAATTCAGTATTATTATTATCATAAAATGGAAATAGGCTATCAAAAATAATATTATTTCCATTATTTGTATTTTCTGTTGTAATACATGTTGGTCCAGTAGGCAAATTTTGATTACATAAATTATCGCAATTTCCATTATTACAATTTATAATATTTTTAGGATTATTATATCCTGCTGTTGATTCTATTGTTGTATTTGTTGTTTTTGTAACTCCTTGATAAAATACATCATCATATATACTAGAATTACTTGTTAAACTAGAATTATCATCATAACTTTCATATTTCATAGAAATATGATTTGATAAATTACGATTTGAATTCAATGTTATAAAATTATTTGAATCCTCTACTGATGGTCTTATTGTAATTAAAGGAGAATTTTCTTCAACATTAATTCCAGATAAACATTTGTTTAAATTTGATAAATTTGATGACGTTGCTGGTGTTGATGCTGTATGACTTAATAAGTCATTATTATTATAATAAAAGTTTTCATTATTTCCATAATTGTTATCAGAAGACTGTTGACTTGATTGTTGTTGAAGTTGATTATGCTCATGCTGCTGATTGTGATAATAATTACTTGTAGTGTTAATTGAATTATGATTAATATAATTTGGTATAGAATTAGTTGATGATGTTTGGACGGATGTTAAATTTGTATCTAAATTTAATAAATTATTATTAGATTGTTGATTTTGTTGCTGTAAATTATTCTGAGAATACATTAAATGTCCTATATTTGTTTCTAATGATGATTGTAAATTTAATTGATATGAATTCGTTGTTGTTGCTGCTGTTATTGTATTATTAAGATTTGCTATATTTATTGTACAAATACACATTGATTGTGTTGGACATAAACATAATTTTGTATTCTTTTTTAATGAATAATTTAATTTATTTTGAAATTCAATATTATTGCTATTATTATTGCTAATAATTTCATTTTTTTGATGTTGTTGCTGCAATTCATTCTGAATTTTTTTATTACGTTTATTTGGTCCTCTCAAACTACGTATTTTATTATTTATTGCTGAATCTTGTGCTAATAATACAGCTAAACTTCTAACACGACGACCAGTTAATCCTAATATTCTTCTTGATTCTGATGATCCTTTTGCTTCAGGTCTTGGATGATCATGTGTACCTTTAGCTTGAAAAAAAATTGCATTACCAGCTTGTCGCCAAAAATGTGTTACCGGATAACCACAATGACCACGACATGGTTGTATAACTAAGCGTCCAGTACAATTTCTATAAAAATAAGTAAATAAATAAAAATTAGTATAAAGGAAATAAAAAATTGCATATAAATGCAGTGTTAAATATGTATATAAAATGTATATAGGGTTTGTAAAATATTAAAATTTTGTGGTTTCCCCTTTTAAAATATTTAAAAAGCAAAAATCAATTAAAATTTAATTTAGAAAGGATGTGTGGACTATAAATATTATTAAGTAGGACTAGACAGTTAATAAAAAATCTTTACAGATCTATTAACTTAAATTAATTTTCCATAATACCTACAGTAATTTTATAATAGATGTTTAAGCGAAATATTCGAATAAATTAAAATCAAACGTATAGGAAGGAAAACAAATGTAAACACTTTTTAAAACCGCAAAGACCACACACACACACACACATTAAGTAATAAAAATTATGAACAAAAAAATGTCATATGTAAAAAATTTCATGCCGCTCTTCGAAAGTCCATTCATTTATGACCCATTAAATTGTTGAAATTTTTAATGAAACCCAAAGTTAGTATGAAATTGTTGTGTGAACACTTTTTTAATACAAAATTTTTAACAGTTTATTAAGATTTTCTACCTCTATCATTGTAACTATGGGTAATAAAATTATTAAAGTACCTATGTAGTTGACAACTTATTGTCGATTAATTTTTAATTATGATTTTGTAAATCATTTTTAAATAGGTATAATGAAAATAGTTGGAAATTAAATTTTTAGTCAACAATCATTTACAACTAATAAACTGATAAATTTCAATTCAGAAGGAATATTTGTTTCTTGTTCCAGAATAAAATTATGCATTGGGGCCTGTTAATGAAACAAGCGAAATTTTGAAAAAAGCCCAATTTATAAACTCTAATAAATTTAATAAATATTTTTATACAACTATTTTATTCTTTTCAGAATATATTTGGGATAACTTTCTATAATATCAAAATTTCTCTTCAGTACATTTATGCACTTTGATTAATTTAAATATTTTATGTTTAATTCTAATAGAATTCAAATGTTCCTGTATAAATTCCAGTAGAAAAAAAAATATTCTAGTATTTTCCGGTTCTATAAAATATAATTGTTCCGAAATAGTTTAATTAATAAAAATATTATTTGAAGTATCTACTTATTGTTAGAGATTTTTAAAAAAATTATTATAATTATTAATTTCTGATTCGATACATTTATTTAAGGTAAAAAATGCTTTTCTTCTGATTTGGAAAATATTAAAATTGCTACGCACTTTAGATTTTGAAAACTAGATTTTTTATATTTTTTAATTTAGAATTTTTAAAGTATAAATTCTAATTTATTTCTAAGTTAAATGCTTTTAATATATGCAAAAACTTCAAAAAAATAGGCGATTATATCTAAACAGAATATTTTGTTCTAAAAATATAGTACTCGTACTTAATTTCTAATATTAAAATAATTCATGTATAACAAAATTTAAATTATATTAATAATTTAAAATATTATTATTTGAAACCCTATTTCCACAATAATTCAATAAAATTACTTTTGTATTATAATTGCACTCATTCAATATAAACTTTTACATTATACATGCTTATCATAATTAATAAATATTAATTCATTAATGTTCTTTTCAAATTCCCAATTATATTCAAAATTTCAGAGTAAAATAGTCGATATTTTTAAATTTTCTCAGAAATTCCGTAAATAATCATAATATTCAAATTTATTAAGAATAAATGAAAGCAATTTTAATTACTGCCACTAATATTTTAAACATAGAAAAATATTCTTTTATTACTTTGTTTTTTCAATTACCTATTTGGACAATTTTTTCCTTGTTGTTTTCTTCTTGCTTTATCACATATTGCTGGTCTTAAATGTACTCTTTCACCATTTGGTAATTTACATTTTGCTGAACATAATAATACACCTAAACAACTTTTTTTTAATATATTAACATTATGATTATTTGTATTACGCATTGCCCAACCAGATGAATGTTTTTTAGCATCATCATTTAATGATGAATATATTAAACGGCAATGACCATTTGACCATTCACAAAAATCATCAAAAATTGTTGTTAATGGTACCGATGTATCATTAATATCCCAATCAATATTAATACGTGATTTTGTTGTTGTATTATCAATAATTATCACATTACTATTGTAATTATTACTATCATTGTTGCTATTATTATTATTATTATTATTATTATTATTATTATTATTATTATGAATGTAATTACGTTCACAATTGTCATTATTAAAATTATTAAATTGATTATTATTTATAATAACCATTTTAAATTATTTATTTATTTTATTAAATTAACTTACAAAATTATAATTATTCAAAATGTAGTTATTAATAATTAATTAATAATGTTATTAATAACTATGTACAAATTTATATAAACTTTAATTTTCTTTGCATATAAAATAATTAGGTATTACAATTGTAAATATTCGAAAAAAAAATTTGATTTTAACGTACAAATTAATATTTTGTTTATTTATATTTTAAAATTAAGTGATTATTGTTTAATAAATAATTATATATTTATAAAACCAACACTATATGTATACATAAAATTATAATTCACTTTTCTCAATTTTAATATATTATAAACATATATGTATATAAACATGCGTAATTATTTTTCCAAAATTACAATAGTTAATTATATTACGTATACATAAAAATGAATTTAACATAATTAAACAAATTTAACATTTCTTTAAAATCCCGTATAATAGGAGTCGATTTTGTATTGCGTCTAAACAGTACCACTGCGCAATCTCTACTGAACTGTTATTAAATTATTGTCCTGGTTTTCTACATTTTTTTTTTTCGTTCTTCTTCTCTATTCTTCTCAATATATCAATTTATAGTCCTTTGTATAATAATTTTTTTGATTCTTTTGCATACCTCTTTTGTTCCTCTGTTTTATTTATCCAAAACAATAAACGTTGGTGTAATTGCACAAAAAATTTAACACAAACACAAGAAGAATACATTGAAAATACTTAAATTTTACACGGATAACTGTTAAATTTTATAATAGTGTTTGTGTTAAATTTACCAATTTGAAATTCTTTTAAAGAATATACGAGTATTATTATATTTGGTACTTCAGTTTTGTTATATTTGGTACTTCAGAATTTGTAGATGTAAACTCCGCCTTTATTTGTAGTTTTTAATGTGTAAAGAAAATCCAAGCAGCATTTATATCTAAAAACTCACACACTGAGAATATTTTTATCCTACGGATATGAAAATTAAATAAAATTTTTATCCGTTTATGTGAAACTCGTCGAGAATTTTTCATTATTTCTTATAATATTCTGTTTGTATAAATTATATTACTATTTTATATAAAAGTATTGTACATGTATAACAGTATTGTAGTATCTTTATATACTTAATATGTAAAAATAAACGGTTTTTTATTTTTACCTTCTTTTCGATTTTTTTTTTCGTTGTTAGTTTTATTGTCTATTGTTTCTGTTTTTGAGTTTATTATTTACTTAAAACACCTGTGATTGGTTAAATACTAATTATTAGATATATATACATACAAATGTATACTAACGTATATAGTATATAGTATGGGGTATGTGGAGATATATACATATAATTGTGTTTTTAACTTTTATATTTCATGACTTAAAAAAACGCTTACAATTAAGAACAAAAGAATTAAAAATTAAATTGAAATTTGTACAAGAAAATACTAAAAAGGTAAGCAATTAATGTTTTGATAATGTGTTGTTATAATAATAGTGATATAATAAATAACATTTACATAAGATTATGAAGACTGTGTACATGAATTACATTATTTTTTAATACAATATTTAGAAAACTATTACTTTGTTTAAAAAATTAGAGCCATTTTACTTTTAAAAAACGCAGGGAACTCGAATGACATTGCAAGTATATTAACATACATTTCAAGCAAACTAATTTCCAATATAATATTAGGATATTCAAAATTTTGGTTTACATCCACCACCATCGAAGAGTAAACTAGTATTCGTCTTGTTGATATATGGAAAAATAATTAATCTTTTGCCAACAAACTCGTTTTAACATAAATATTCTAACCATAAATTTGAATATGATGTATATAAACTCGATTTCGATCAGAACAATTGCTTCAACATTGGGGTTTATTTCTTTGTATTGCTTCATAGTTTTTAGCTCCAAGGAAAACAAAAAGTTGGCGAAAAAAATTAGTTTAGTTCATGAATTGTGCTAAAATAAAGTTGCCATTAAAATATTGAAATTAATTTAAAAAAAATTATAACCATATTTGATTCAGCAGTGCTTGACAATAAGATGGTAGTGGTTTACTATGGGGAATATGGCGATATTCTATTGAAATCATATTCCATCGGCATCAATGTCATCCAAATTTTCAAATAGATTGAAAGAAATCTCAAACAAATTTCAAAAAAACGTTGATTATCGTGTGGAACTATTCCAATCAGAGCTTTATCTTTTCCTTATTTAAGATTCGTAACGTAATTCGTAGCGTGTCAACTACGGCAAACGATTCATATTTTTTCGAATATAATGAAACCGTTTGCCTCTTTTTTCTTGGCCTCACAATTTTTTAAAAACTGTTACAAGTTGCGTCAAATGACGATTGATTTCCAAAGTGAATTTGTAGGTTGTTACAATATTGTAGGTTGTTGATTGTTGATTCTATATGCATAGAGTTTCAGAGTTTACGGTGCTTGTTTTTTAGTTGATCTCCATGCAAGTTCTATGAAAGAAAAAAAATTGATTTCTAATTAAAGTTATTAAAAATTTAGTTCTAATTAATTTAGTAAATAAATTTATCTAATAATTTAGCTCCTAAATAAATTTATCTTTTTAATGAAATATACAATCAAAATTAAAATAATTGGCAGTATTTGAATTTAAAGTGAATATTTATTTTAAATTTAAATTGTTGAACTTTTCCAAATTATTAAATTTTAAACTTTTGATTTAATTTTTTAAATAAATTATTTGAATTCTATTTAATTAAATTGGGAAAAATTTCGCTACAATTATTTATTCTTAAGAACCTTATCATTTACAAATCACTTAAATTCAATATATTGATTAAGTTTTTACAGCTGCATGCAAATCGCTGAGATCAAATACTATAACATAATGGAAAAATAAAAAAAAATTTAAATATTCAAATTTATTTGAATAATAATTATATATAGATTTTTTCTTATTTTCTTATATTTATTAATATGAAATGCTTAACTATATTCAAATTTGTAGTTTTTATTACAAAGTTTCCTTATTGTTACAATTACAATTATTTGTTCTGCTATAATCTTATAAAAAAAATCTTAAAAACTTTATAATAACAATTTCACATAGAAATTTTATTTTTAAATTAAATTTCAAATATATATATTGAGACAAAACCACTTTAAATAAAATGTTAAAGTACTTAGAAAAACTAGATTTCAATTGTCCTTTTTTTTATACATATATAAAACACATTACATTATTGTATAAGGACTATACAAAATTCAAATAATATTGAATTAATTATTTCTTTATTATTATTATTATTATTGACCTCACCTTTTGTATATAATTTATAGTATTATTATTTTTGATTCTTTATTGAATTCTTGTATATCCTTTTAATGTAATCGATATTCATTTTCTTAAACCTCAAAAAACTAATATTATACGCTTGTATTGTTGTCACTTTCTTATAAAAAGGACATTTTTTTTAATATAAAAATTATTCAAATCATTTTCTTATACTTCAAGATTTTCTCTCCTCTCCATTTAATTCGTATTTCATTCATATACCTAAAAAGAGAAATAATAAAATCATTGTAAACCACATACTTGAAAAATGTCCTTAAGATAAATTTCTGGAATTCGATACATTTTTATTATAATACATATTGTTATTATTCTTAATATATATGCCTAACCTTACATACCCATAAAATATATTTAAAATTTTCAATAATTTTTTCATATTACATTTTTAATTATTTTCACGTTTTTCTATACAAACTATAAAATATTTGTGAGAATTTTAAATTATATTTAAATAGATGAACAATACAAAATTTGCTATTTAATGTACTTAAATATCAAAAGAATATTACAAATAATTTTCGAAATATATTCACTTTACTAAATATATACAATGTATGTATAATTTTACAAATATACACAATAGAACCATTATACTTTTGTATTATAAAAATGTATGGATAATATTCGACTCTTGAACTCAACTTGTATATACTTAACATATGTATGTGTGTACATCAATTTTATTGAACTTGAGATCAAATAATTTAGACCACTCACATAATATTCTTTCCACAGTAATGTACCTACTTGTAAAACCCCCTTGGGTGATATTGTTAGTGTTTTTTTATTCTTATTTGTGAAATTATTTTTGCAACTTCTTTCCGCAGTAAATTTACATGAAATGAAAAAAAATAAGAAATTTTAATATAAAATGTACGGTGGAAGAAAAAAAAAATTATGAATTGATTCTTGTAACTCATAAGATATTCGGTGATATTCGATATACCAAATTGAGAATTACGGTTACAATATTATGTATTCGGTTCGGTCCTTATTCAAGTAAGATAAAATTCTTCTGTAAAAAATTGTTAAATAAATCGAGAAATAAATAAATTGAGAAAAATAATTCTCTTAATTTTGTGGATGCCTCATTTCGATCTTAAATGCTTTTCATTATAGTATAAAACATTTTAATGAACCACGTATTTTTGACAGACCTGTTATATTGCATATTTTTGGGATTAAATTTGAAAAAAATTGCTATAACAAAAATATTTGATCGAATTCGATTTGTTAATTAATTCTGTTAAAGCACAGAGCCTTATTCTAGGATTAAAAGATTTAAGATTAGCGACACCTCTAATCCATTGAATTTGACAAATTGAGTGTAAGCCAATACAATAATTTTTTCAAGTAAGTTAGTTACGAACATTTTATTTTATTCACAGATTTGTAAACTATTACAGACTTCCAAAAGAGGCCTTTGTATATTTACTGAATATATTCGAGGGAAAAACGAGTACCCGTAAAAGACGTTCTCTGTCATGAAATTTCCAATACTTTAAAATTATAAATATTTTCACGCTAAAAACAAAAATTAAATTATATATTTTACGACTTAATTTATTTTAAAATAATTCTTTTTTTTATGATTTTATTAAATTGTTTTGTTTTAACCTGTATTTTTGGTTTATACTTCTTGCTTGCCACTTGTTAAATACTTTTCGACAGAAAACGTCGTTTCACTACGCCATATCTCGCATCAGAACGACAACTGGAATATGGCTGAAACCCATTTTCCCGCTATTCCCCGACAAGTGTCACTGCGATCGCCGCTTAGAATATCAAATTCAAGTCGTAACGACAATTGTCGCTCTACTTCGACAACTAGAATAAGGCTCACTAATTTAAACTCATGTGCTACTGTAACAATTTTGTTCGATGAAGATTTTGAATTTCCAATAGATAGTTGACCAATAGTTTACATTTTTTTTAATCTTGAGAGGAAAAAAATCAGAAAGGGGTCGTCAAATTATTAAAATTTCAGAATCCTACCAGTTGATGTTAAAAAATATACCTACATACTTACGATGATTACAAGCTCAGTGTTCACGATCAACTTTTCATTTACTAGTTCAGACTTACTGAACCAGTAATTGAAAAGTTGATTTGACAAATGAAATGTCAAATACATTATATCTGTGATGAATTTATCACCTTAAATTTAAAAAAGATGACAAAAAATCAAAATCTTTTATACCTACATAGAATCTTACCTACACTTCAAAAATTATTGAAACAAAGAAAAACAAAACAAAAAAAAAAGAAAATAAAATTGTTGCATAATGCTGTTGCATACAATATGTTTAATAATGATAAAAACAACAACAAAAAATAGCAACATTAAGAATAAAATAAAATCAAATTGAATTGAACTTTCGCT